AATATAAGTGTAAAATATACATTTTACGATGGATCTAAATGGAAAGCTCAAAGAAATGGTTTATTTTATATCCTCATTATTTCTAACAAAACTGTAAAACAGTACTAAAGATTGCCTTTCTGATGCACTCTAATTCTACTGCTGTAGTGTTTAAACTGTTAAATTAGGAAAACCAGAACTAATTTAAATGGGACTGTTAAGAATCAATTACACCTGCTGTACTAGAAATCTTTAAGGCCATGAAAATTAAAAAGAAAGGAAAATAAATTACAATGCAGAATCCCATGCCTCCAGTCCATGATCAGTGTTTATCAGAGATGGTATTCTGGAGGTATCCCACACAAACGGAGTTTGGAATGTTTGTATTCTTTTTTCATTTGTATTCTGTGTTGTCTTTGACGTCAGTCTTTGATAATTGGTCATTGTCATACAACTTGAACACAATTTTATTGGCCTGAATGGAGGCAAAATAATTCATTTTCAAGACCTATTTAAAAAGAATGAACGTTTTGGAGCACCATTTGTTTTTGTAATCTACTATTCCTGGACTATATTGCTAATGCCTATTCACTCTAGACACTTCATCCTACATAGACGTTCGTCCACTGTGAGGCATGCAGGCATGAGCAGGGGGAATTCAGAGATGACAACATGGTAAGACATTAGAAATCAAGGTGCATCTGTAGGAGGTGCTTATTCAGAATCCTCAAAGGACGGTTTACCCAGTGGACTTTGAAAACACAAAACCTAAGACACCCTGTGGGATCTAAGTAGAGGTGCATTTAAGATTGAGAAAAGTAAGCACTTAAAAGGGTACCTCACATATATAAAAGCATGGTGGTAGCATGTTGTGTAAAATGTGATGGTGGTAACATGAAACAAGCTACTGCATGAGATCTTCGGGTCATTGAGCTACTAGCATCCAAGATAAGCCAAACACTCTGTTTGAAACAAGCTACTGCATGATATCTCTGTAGATCAATTAACTACTAGCAACCGAAAAGACAAGATGAGCCAAAGGGCTTCTTCTTGTAGGTACAGTATATCCCCACACGTTCTTAATCGCACATGGTGCAGAAACCTGGATTTACGTGTTATAAAACTGGTCTTTTAAATACATTTTATATTTCTCTGCAGTGACCTTTCAAGAATGCTTGGACTGGTATGGCTTAGAGTGTTACTGCAGGTCTTGAAACACTTGCTTATTTATAAGCAGTTTAAAAGTGTGTGCCAGGTGACATATTCAAAAGGCAATATGGGATTTGATAACATGGGAAAACTCAGATCTTGTATGTGGTATTTAACATTTCTTTAGCAACCATACTTTTTGGCAGTATTGTATATCATTTATTCAGTACCAGCTACTGTGCTTTTAAATGTCTTGCTGTGACAGATGTCATTAGTTTGGGACACATCATACTAAAGGTTATTATTTGCACTAGATGCTGGATGCATTGGTATATAGAAATGTGGGAGAACTGAGCTCAAGGGATCACTGCAGGACTCCTTTGATAAGGGAGCAGTCATATCGCTTGCAGCATCATCGTTGTTTCTTATATTCCAGCCGTAAAACTGTCAAAAGCCTTCCTTCCTCTTTTTTGATCTGACAGTGGCTGAGCCGCTTTGTCTCCAACGGCTTTTGTTCAGACATGCTTCAGGCTAAAAAAAATTCTTGTCTCAGCCTGGCCAAATCTTAGAATTCACAGCGGTTGCTACCTAAAACGTTTGAATTTTGTTTTCTGTGTTATTTTTTAATCCGCTTCAAAGCAAACTGAATTTTTACTCATTTCGACTAAAGCACAAACACTGAGAGAGAAGTCGCACTCAGGACTTTTCAAGGTTGTGTAAAAGGTGATAGATGGGCATTATCTATGATTTTTTTTTTTACATTATGTTGAGATTTAATATATGAAGAAATTACCATATATTGATTCCAAAACTGGCTAGAGGCCATTAAACACAAGGACAGTGTTCAGCCTAGAGAAACTACAGGCAATTAAATTCAGCTGTGCTTTTCTGAAATGGCTGAAGGAAGTTTCTAAGCACCTTCTGAAAAACTGGCATGGCTGCATCTTCACCAGTCTGAGATGCTGCCTCAGATGCCTTATTTTTTGTGCTTTCCAACTCTGCTTGCATTCTTCTCAGACATTCTACTGTATGTTTTGTATGGACAGGAATTGAAAATACAGCCAAAATTTCAGAAAAAAAACCCACAATAAATCATGAGCAACACAGTGGCAAAGAGGCTAGCATTGGTGCACGTCTTGATTATATGACCTATCATTTACCCATCCATTTTCTATCCACTTCCTCCAAGACAGGATCGTGGGGAAGCTGAAGCCTGACCCAACAAGCAATGGGGGCAGGTCAGGATACACCCTGCATGGAACACAGGTCCGTTGCAGGACAGACACAAACAAACACATGCACACTCTCACTCTCACACCTAGGGCCACTTTTTCCCAGAAGCCAATAACATATAGGTACCAGTAGGCCTTTGGACTTCAGGAGAAAACCCATGTGAATACAGGGAGAATATACAAACTCCACTCAGATAGCACCCCAGATCTGGAACTGAACCTAGGGCCACAGCGCTGGGAGACAGCAGTGTTAAGCACCCTGTCACCATGCTGCTGAAGCTGAATCAGCATGATTAAAATAAAGGTAAACAATTAATCATTTTTCACCTTTTCTATACTGCCTTACCATTCATGCATTAAACCTTCCATGTGAAACATGATGTCATACAAAGGGTCTCCAGCCCTGGTCCCAGAGAGCCCTAGCCTAGTGTGTTGTAAGGGTAACCAATGAGTGATCAATTTCTAAAGACCTGAAACAATTTCGTTGAAATAAATCAAGCAGGTAAGTTTGGAGATTTAGTTTAGAAGATTAAATGTAAGATAAAAGCTCAGTCCCAATGTCCTAGAATTTCCTCAAAATACTCCAATTGGCATATTATTTACAAGTGTTCCTTGACTTTAGAAATTGTAGATTGTAATTTAAAATAATCTTTGAAATGTTCTGGATCATGGTTCTCCAAAACCAGGATCGGAGACCCCTGTGTTAGTAATCTGTTCAGAGACATTAGTAAATTCATTAAAGGAAAGTGAACTCGATCTTTCTTCCACAGTCCTGACCCGTGTGTCCACTCATCTCTTTATACTGAACAATTAGCTTACTTTTACAGTACATGACCTGTAATAGACAATTGCTTTGAAGTCTTCACATTAGAAAGAACTGAATTAGCTGTTTTTCAGTAAGCTTAGAGGTTTTTTTTGCAAGGAATGAAGGGGTTTGCAAAATAATTATCTTTACATCACCACTCGATCATTGATCAGGGACAGAAAAATTGTGCTTGGAGGCAATAATAAAGCTTTGTGCTCCTTATTGATGTTCTCAATGAAACAATGTACCTAAATGCACAGCATTTTAAAAGAACAGGGCCATAAACTGTTTACATCACTTTAGCCAGACCTTAAAGGTCTATTTTTATTCATGTGAAGTCATCACCTTGATTTGAGTGTGCAATGCTGAGTCCATTTCACAATGTTGTCAATGACTGTTGGCTGTTAACATACAATATTTACTGTACCTCAGGGTAGAGTTCAGAGGTGAAAAAGTACAGTACATTATAAATATAGTAGTTTGAGTAGGTACTGTAGCTGTGTCAGCATATATAGGCTGCAAAGGAAAAAGTAAAGGTTTATTCCACACTGAAATGAAAGAAAAGAAGCACAAAATTGTGTCTGTGGAGCCATCTTTGGATGTCACATCTTTTCTTTTCAGTGTAGAATAAACCTTTACTTGTTCCGTTATAAATATAAACCAACTAAACCTAAATTTCCATAAGGCTAAAGGAAAAAGTTCAGAATAAAGACAATCTGGTCAAGATTAATACCTGTAAATCCAATTTACAGTGTTCGCACCTTCAAAAATGACACCATATTCATTAAAATGACAGTTTGGGTTCAAATGTTACAGTAAATGTAAAATGTTGGAATTTCTAAGGAAGATTATATATTTAATAAACTATAAATTATAATATTAATCAACAATCTGGAAATATTTGTCTTTAATACCTATTTAAGAGTAACCACTTATACATTTTTGGTCTATCATTTTCCAGAATTGTTTAACAGTTGAAGGATTGTTTTTATACACCTTTTATATAACACCGTGATAATCTAAAACACCATTGTAATTGTAACACTTGTAATCTTATTTGTGTACATTTCAATGGTGACTCAAAGCACCAATGACCTTGCATCTTTAAGAAGTTTGCGATTAAAATGCTTCTTTTGTTAACAACGTCCTTGTAATTCTGACATAAAATGCGCGGACTGCTGGCAGCTGCAGATTATTAAAGAAAACATTTGTTTAAGGGAAAGGTGAGAATGGAAAGTCATCCAGGTGCTGAACAAGAGGGGCTGAGGGATTCTTTACCCAGTCTCCTGAAAAGGGGTATCCATTCCCATTTGCCTACACAGTCATGTAATAGTAACACAAATGAAATACTTTATATTTATATATAATTTCATGGCTATGGAAACTGGATGTTTTTAGGCCTTCTACTTGTTTTTCAGAAACAACACGACTGCAGTCTTTTCATTTCTTATTGTGAGTAAGCACTTACATGGCTACAGAATTGGGTGTTTTTAAGTCTTTGATTCGTTTTTCAGAAATGGCAGAACTGCAAACGTTCCCTTTTCCTGACTTGTTTCAATTTAGGGTCTTCAGCAAGGGGTCCTAGATTATACCCATGTTCCAGATAGCCCAGGCATGAGCACTACAAGCTCAGAGACGTGTGCAAGCTGCAGCGGCGCTGAAAAATCACCAGCAGCCGAAGAGCTGTTATCTTTTTATGTTTTATCTTTTGGCAGTGTTTTATTCCCCTCTGTTTTTAGTTATAGATGAAAATAAGCCAATAGACATAGGCCATATCCCTATTAATTTCCTTTATAATTTCTTTCCCTTATGAATAATTTGAATGAAAGAGTTGCTTCATGAATTGCATTTTATTTTGCTTGTAAATGAGATTCCAAAAAATAGGCAGGCATTTCACTCCTCATCCTGGTCAGAAAACAAACATCCACTGGTGTAGAGAATCCTGTATGTATTGTCTAATAAGTTGATTATTGATTTTTAGTCACATACAGTATATGGAATTATTAGTAATTGTGTATTTTATGACCCCAAGTGTCTAAGGGTAAAGGGGTGTAACATTAAGGATAATTATTTTGGAAGCAGGTGGTTTCTGGTGTGGGACTAGGAAGCTCGATAACAAAGGTGGGTGCAAAAGACACACACACTAGGATGTAACAGTGTATAAATATTAATCAGAAAACAGATCACATTCTAGACCTCCCCACAGACAGCACAGTGAAACACAATGCATTTGTTAGTGCTCCATTTGTGCCATTGAAAGTGTTGTTAAATTCCTGAGATATTATGACGTCTTTTTTCGGGATGTGATGCCACCCTATAATGGTGCAGGAGAACCAAATCTATTTAGCTCGTTCATGCTGCATTTGTGCCTGTTTGCGTCATAGAAAGTAGCTTCCAAACTGTTTTGTTTCCTGAAATATAGTGCCTTATTTGTTGAGTAATCAAGTAACTACGATCAATGGTAATCTGCCTACAAGTAACTTTACTGCTCACAACACATCTGAATAGTTAATCTACTTAATTATTGAATATGAATATGAACTTAATACTGAAACGAACGCCTGCAGTTTGCTTTCTCAATGTGTCCAGGGGGTGCGGTGAACGTTTTGCATTTCAATAGCATTATTGTTTGTGTATTTGTGTGAATATTAAAACTAAATCTGCCTCCGATATCTTAATGTAACCACAAGAGTTGCTGTATTAGCCTTAAAAAAAAGGAACATTAAAAAACACTTGCATTTTTGCATTTTCTAAAAATGATTTTACTAGCATAGCATGTCATAATGCTTCGAAGCTGTCGGATATTTTTAAAAATGAACAAGTAATCTAAAGAGTTATTTTATTGAAATAAATCAAGCAGGTGAAGTTGGAGATTATTTAGTTTAGAAGATTACATGTAAGATAAAAGGTCAATCCTAATGTACCAGAAGATACAGACATTGACACAGTTGTGGCCTGCGTATCCATCTCTTTATACTGAAAAATGATCTTACTTTTACATGACCCATAATAGACAGATGCTTTGAAGTCTTCTCATTAGAAAAAGCTGGTCAGTGTTGATTTATGTCATACTGACTTAGCAGTTGATTGTATTTCTCAGGGGGCTCATAGGGCTTTTTTTCAAGAAATGAAGGGCTTGTGAAAGCATCATCTTTACACCACTACTTGATCAGAGATCAGATGGAAAAATTGTGCTTGGAGGTAATAAAAACCTCCAAGGGTGCAAAAAACAAACACAGTAGGTTTAAGGTTTTAGTATGTTTGTGCTCCTTACTAACATTCTTGATGAGACAATGCACCTAACTGCACAGCAGATTAAAAGAATAGGACCATAAACTGCTTACATCACTTTAGTCGGACCTAAAAGGTTTATTTTTACTCATGTGAAGTCATTGTCTTGAATGAGGGTGTGCGGTGCTGTGTCAATGTCCATTTCACAATGTTGTCAATAACTGCTGGCAATTAACATGTTTAACTCAGGGTACAGTTCAGGAGTAGAGAGGTAGATTATAATCAGAACCCAAATAAATCTACATTTTAGTAAGGCTAAAGGAAAAAGTTCAGAATAATGACACTATGGTCAAGATTTATACCTGTAAATCCAATTTACAGTGTTCACACCTTTGTAAATGGCACCATATTCATTAGAATGACAGTTTGCATTTAAACTTTAAAGTAAAAGTAAAATGTTGGAATTTCTAAGGAAGATTATACATTTCAATATCAAACATTGAAAAATAATTTTAAAGTTTGTCTTTTCATTTCTTATTGTGAGTAAGCACTTACAGTACACATTTTTGGTCTATTACCTGATTTCCCAGAATTGTTTAACAGTCACGTAATAGTATCACAAATGAAATATATTTACATATGATGTCATGGCTACAGAATTGGGTGTTTTTAAGTCTTCGACTCGTTTTTCAGAAATGGCAGAACTGCAAACGTTCCCTTTTCCTGACTTGTTTCTATTTAGGGTCTTCTGCAAGGTGTCCTAGATTATACCCATGTTCCAGATAGCCCAGGTACGAGCACCACAAGCTCAGAGACATGTGCAAACCACAGGGGTGCTGAAACATCACTAGTAGCTGAAGAGCTGTTATCTTTTTATGTTTTAGCTTTTGGCAGTGTTTTATTCCCCTCTGTTCCTCGAAATGTCTTGCTGTTTTCAGTCATATGCCAACATATACAGTAGTTATTGGCTATATCCCTATTTTTTTTCCTTTATGATGTCGTTTCCTTTTGCTATGTTGCTCCAGTAATTGACATATAAAACGATAGGTTTGCTTGTAAATGGAATTCCAAAAAACAAGTGGGCACATTACTCTTCTTCCATGTATGTATTGCCTAATCAGCTACAGTACATTAACAAACTTGAATAATTCTAATGCTAGAATACCCAAGGACCTGATAGAGCATGCTGTCTTTCATGCTTGGAATTCTATAGATTACACCACTCATAGTGGCATAATGCTACCAAACTCCTCACTACTGTAACGTTCTTGAGCTGTTACTGTACATTCAGTGCTTGCCATTCTGCTACACGCCTGCCCTGACATCTATATCAGCTGATGTGAACTGTCAAGAATAAAAAGAGGTACAGTATAACTGGGTGGGTTGAGTTTGAAGCCAAGTCTGTTGAAAGTTGCTGCTTTTTCTACCAATCCATGACAGATTATCTCGGTCAAAAAAAAGCAGTCCCTCCTTGTGATATCGTTTTAACAAAAGTGTCAGCACAGCACCACGCTCAATGTGAGAAGGGCGGTCAGGCTGAAAACTGTGAAAGCAACAGAGGGAGCTCCAGAAGATCCTGATATACAGTGCTGCTTATTTTTGCCAATACAGGCTGCATACGCCATGACATGGGGGATGTAGTTCTGCTCCTTGACACCATGCAGCAAGTGTGCCATGGGTCCCTTTGAAAAAATGGCCACATCTTCACCACCATGAGTCTCCATTCGCAGGGGCACAGCTGACTGGGCCAGATAGTCATTGTGATCTGTGGACACAAGGGAGACAGGGATCGGGTGACGTCTACATGCTTTCCAGATTCATTTTGAACTTGCAATCCCCTGCCTTTCCATCATATTTTCAAAAAAGGCATCAGTATATTTGAATCTAGAAAATGAATGTTCTTACCATCTATATTCTAGAGATTTCCTTTTAGATTTCGCAGTTATTTACAGCCAAGGAAAAAATGAGAAGAGAAGGCTGCTTGTGTGACTTCTGAAACATGCACTGTCAAGCCATCTTCACCTTGTCAAAATGCGAGCCCTTCAGAAGAGTTCGTGTCGAATGGAGAAGTAAAACAGCTCCTGCTGATAGCACAGTAGCCTTACGGGTGTTGCTATTTCAGGGCAAGCCGAGGATTCTAGTGCAATCCCACCCAACCCCAGCGCTGCTTAGGCAGTTACACTGTGCCATTGTAATGAATACCAGCCAGAAAACCTGTCTCAAACCAGTGACTGTCTTGCATATACTGTGGAGAGTATTATTACATCACATACTGTAGTCGGTAGTGGAGACATTCTCCCTTCCTCCATTCACCAGCTTGTACCCTGGCCCGTTCCCATACAGGATGGATGTAAATGGCTTTTGGTCAATATCGCTCATCATAGGTGCCAATCCTGCAGAAAGTAAAGAAAAAGCCTTCAGATGGTAAACAAATTTCCTATTTCAAGTACACGCCACATTTCACACATCCACTGCAATTCTCGAAGGAAGATCTGTAGCTCAGACATCTATGAATCATGTCTTGGCGACTTTATAAAGACTGTTCAGGATAATAACATGATAGGTGATGAATGCTTGACTTGTCTACAGTACATGCATCAATCATGTTAAAGCTAAACACCACCTATCACTAGACTGTTGTATTCAGATTCATGGTTGACTCCTGGTCTGTCTGTTTCTATTTTTTTCTTTTTACTTGATCCACAGAGCCATCCAGCCACCTCATTTTTGCATATTAGCTTCAGACACTTATGTCAGTAAATATTAAGTTGCATGAGGTTTTACATGCTCTGGCTTCAGTTTGTATTACGTGTTATCTCCAATACATTTATCTAAAGTTAAACTGCTTCATAAGAGACACAGAAGTCCTTGTTTAGAAAGCACAGAAAATGTGTGGCGTGTTAAAAAAAAAAGATAAAAATGGTACAAAATGATGTATGTATCTTCCCATTGACTGCTGCTCCACTAAATGCATTTGGGGCAAAGCCAGTGCAGCAGTTTCAAAATGCTGAAAAGCTTGTCAATGTAGTTCTCCTCACTGTCACCATAGCAAAGTCACCTTTGCTGTCTGGAGGGGTGTGCTCTACATTATAAGGTGTGTTGATTAATTATTGCTTATTTATGAGCCATCTCCATTCTGCTTGTATAGATCTCCAAGGCACCTTCATATCGGGTTTTGAATTTATGTGCATGTGTGGAGTTTATTTTGATGGTTGGCCTTTTGATTTGTGTGTGTTTACTTCTATTATTGTGGGCAAAGTACCGAAAATGGGGTTCCCTCTGTGGGTGTAGCCCCCAAAGGTGAAGACATGGGAGTGGTCTGCTGTCACGACGGTCTGGGTGTCTTCTTCACTGGTCAGGAGCCCTGCCCTGCCAATGGCCTTGTCCATCTCCACCGCCTCATGCAGGGCCTGCTTAGCTTTCCCCTCGTGATGGCCGTGGTCAATCCGACCCCCTGGCAGGACACAAAGAGGCATTTACTCACAGAGTCTGTCACAGAGGAACTCGAGATCTCTTGAAAACCTATAAGCGGATGAACTTTGTCTTCAGTTTAAAAATTCTTCATGAAAAATATAGATTGTAGATGCTGTAACATGCATAAAAAGTTAACACGTAAGAGGCACTTATGAAGGGACAATGTATTTTTTAAATCTTCTCAGAATGACATAGCCCAAGGAAGTTACGTACAGAATGCACAAGGTGTCAGTCAGTGTACCAAGTACTGCATCCTGGCATTTTTATTTGTTGATCTGATGCCGGACTGCACCATTCTGTAAAACTCCCAGGAGGCACAGTTAATTCTTAAAGTACCACAGCTGCATGTGGTTGTCAATCTAATCAGTACTGTATTAAATATTTATAATACTGAATCAAACTAATATCCTGACAATCCCCTGTTTAATATAATTATTGTTTTTTTAATTACATACTGTATACAGAATTATACAGTATTGGTAAGGGCCAATGGGAAATTTGGCCAGGACGCCAGGGTTACACCCTTACTCTTTTCAGGAAACACCCTGAGATTTTTAATGACCACAGAGAGTCAGGACCTCGGGTTTACGTCTCATCTGAAGGACGGTGCCTGTTTACAGTATAGTGTCCCCGTTTCATTCATCACCTCTTCTGCTGCATCATCAGGAAGAAACAAGTTCAAGTATTAAACCTTCTGCAGATCTTCAGTTTAGTTATTTATTTTTAATCAGTATCAATATAGCAAATGATACCCCTCCTCAAAAATTATATATTTTTTTTATCCTCTGGAATATATATTAAATTATTTAATAATAACATCACATATTAGTATTTTTAAAATGCAGTCAAATTTTGAAAAAATATTTTATTTTTCTTTAACTAAACATATAAGTATATACACAGTAGTATTGATGGTGTCAATTTATTTCACATTTTGAGATATGCTCTTGAATTATGCTTGACTGTTACAAACCAATACATCCAACTGCATTAACAGGACAGCAAGCTGAACAATACAGGTGTTTTTCATCTCAAATGTGGAAAACAAAATTGCCTTTCATTGGCAGTTATGTTATTTGATTGGTAAATACCATGGCCTAGGGATTATGTCAGCAGAAAAATTAAAAGAAAGACTTTAAAAAATCCAAATCTGTTTTTTTTTTTTCTGGCAGATTGCTCGTGTGGTTTCTTCATATTTACCATTGATAACCTACCTTCCACCAGCAAGTAGAAGCCCCTGGGGTTTCGTCTCAGGATTTTGATGGCTATTTCCACCATCTCGGTCAAGGAGGGGTCTGTGTCTTTGTTACGCTCCAGCTCATATGGCATATCTCCAGGCTCAAAGAGACCTGTTGGACACATGTGAGGGGTTAGAGTCCCTTGGTTGTTACAGTCAAGAAAAACTGGTGCTCAAATAATTTTGCCCTAAAAGTTTTTTTTTTTACTGAAAATATTCTATTCTTTCTTCAGTGATAGTTTCTTTTCATGCACAATGCATAGTAAATATGCTCTTTCAGCATCTTAGTCCATTCTTAGAGGTGTCTTCCTATTTATCTATCTAAAAAAATATGAAACAGAAAGTAGAACAGTTCTTTATTATGGCTTGAAATATTTTTGTTTATGTACCTTAACTCTATAGGGATAACCAAAACAGAACAAAGCCAAATATCTAGAAAATTCTGGTTCGCCGTCGTGTAATGATTACTTTTCCATTGTATTTCTTTGATTATTAGTGGGCCTTTGGAACTGCTACATTTCTGATATAAAAAGCACCCTGTGGACACAACTGACATTCTATGGCTTTGTGTGTTTGCAAATCCCATATAAAAACAACACAGACCAGCACATTAATGCTCAAGATAGCTCACTGTATCTATTTTATGAACCTTCCATTTTTATTCATTTTTTATTCTTTCCCATTCATTGCATGTTCTAGCAACTCCAAGGGATTGGATCACCTTAATTAATCACGATGTTTGTGGACAGACACTTGTAATGGTGCCCTCGAGTCTACGTAGTGCAATACCCTAGATTATGCACTGCATTGCAAAAGGCGATCTCTTAGTTCCTAACCAGTGCTTCTAATGCAGATGGAAACACAGGAGCATCACAGGAGCATGCACTTAAGTCATTTTGGTTTACGCAGGAATGAATTCTAAGGAGATAAAGATACTTTAGAGCATGTTAACATTTTTTTAAACGTTCTATCAGGTTTGAACATACCCAGTAAATAGTTTACTCTGTTTGGATCCAGAGATAACAGCTGACGTCTGTTCCACACATAGTGGCCATTCTGGAATAAATAAATAAACCACAGTCAGTTTCATGGCTGTATTGGCTGTACTGGAAATCCTATTCTGCCTCTTTGTGGTGTACACTCTTCATTTTATGCATTCACTTATAATGTATCCTCAGATGACTAGAATCTGTTTTGGGTTGCCTAAAATGTTTCCATGATATGGAAATGTTTGATTTCCACTCTTCTACATTTTTTATTTCTTCTCTGCTGCATTTATAATGATAGATTATAATAGCATGCTTACATGCTAGATCAGCAAAAATGTTTCTGAAAAGACTTTTCAAAGTCACGCAAAAAAGAAACTACTCACACTGGTATACCAGATATGTGGTATACTACAGTTAAGATGTTTCACCAAAGATTTACAGATTTGTAAGATCTGTGAAAATGATCTTTTAAGAGCCTGAAACAGTCCCTAGGCAATGGGTAAATATTTCTTTAAGCAAAGCTGTTACAAGTTCTTCTGGATACATTTTCTTAATAGATTGTTTACTCTCACATTGACAATTATAACGATGTATTTTTAAAACCACTGATTTTCAGAACGTTGTGGATAATTCCAGGACAGTAACAGAACTCTATTAGCTCTCTCAGACACCTCTGCTGGCAATTTACTTTGAGAAGTGCTTTACAAAAGGAGGTTAGTGTGAGTGTCACTGACTTGATGTCCTGTATGAAAAGCTTTAAAGACCACTTCAATAACCTCAGTCATCTAAAAGACATGCCATCCTGTTTCCTAACCTCTCCATTGTAGACTAGATTTTATTGAGATGATGTTATTTCATTGGAGTAGTAAAGATATCCTGTTACAAAGAGGATTATGTGGCCTTGTAAAAGTCAGTGTACATTTCCACCCATGATTGTAAGTGCATCCTTGCAGTTTAGATTAATGGCAGCACCTTCATCCTGTTTCATTTCATTCAGACGGGGCTACTTCCTGGGGCCTTTTGACCTGAAAGGGATGTTAGAATAGCTGAGGCTTCCTTACCATGCTGCTGGTTCTGTTTTTCCACTCCTCTATGAGGCTTCTGCCATCCCTGCGAGTGCCACTGTGTTTGCGCTCGTTGGGGTACTCCACATCGGAGGTGTTTTTGGGGTACATATACTTCCTCCCTCCTCCCATGATCACCTGTAAGCCCATCCCAGAGAGCTAGATGAACTCATGCATCTTACCATACGTGAACATAACATTAATAAATAAACAATGCCCCGTGATTTCATTTGGCTCTTCATAGTGAATCTCGGTATTTCATAATCAGGTGTTAAGAATAGACTCCACGGTTTAAGAATACATCACTCCTTGATCTGTGATCCAAGCCTTGCGTTTGAGTCTTTAATACAAACAGTTATTTTGCTCCGGTCAATCTCATATAAACATATATTCCAATATCCATCAGTGTATAAAGATTAGAATTTTAAAATCATTCTACATCAATCTAATATGGTTTACATAAACGTTTTGCTTTTTGGGTATTTTAAACATAATCTGTAATTCTTCTGAAGCATTTCCACTCAAGGTCAGGTGTATTTTCAACACACTGGTATGGCCAGATATGTGAAACATGAACTAAATCTTAGATAAATGCATACTAAAATTCAAGGCGAAAAGGGGTGATTTTTATAGTTAGGGGGGCAGTGTTTTAAAGGTTTCAAGCATGGTTTTAGGACAACTTACGTCAATGTTGGGAATGTTCTCGAACAGCTGCCTGGCGATGTCTTTGCAGCCACCTTCAATGGCGTCTTGGGGCATCTCTCCATCAGAGTACCAATCCCGATCCACACAGTGTGCATAGGCGGCGCTAGGAGTGGCATGGTTTATCCTTGTCGTCGTGACAATGCCCACTGACTTGCCTTAGAAATAAAACCAGAGATGAGTAAATGACTGGAAAGATGGCTATTCGTTTTGATTAATCAGACTCCATTTACTACTAAAATGCTTGGGTTTTCATTAAATAAAAGAAGCAAAATGTAAGTCTTATTTTGTGCATTCAAATGAGCCTATATGTCCACTGTAGAAGTGCAAGCAAAAATAATGTGAATTTGTTAGTTGTTGTCATAGTGACTTTGTAAAAGGTCTTTTAAAAAAAGTTTGTGATCCCTGACGTAAACATTCACCCAGTGTAGTAATGCTTGTGGGATATAAAATGAATGAGAACTGTACGAACGGGTCAGACACAGCAGCACCTAAGCTGAAAAACATCCCACAGGATGAAAAACATGAGAGACTGAGCACAAGTCTTCACAAAAGAAAAAATGTTCTTCTTGTACTGCACTAAACAGGGGAGTTACAGCTTTGTTTCTTCTGTATTTTTAACAGCAGATCCATCTGCTTGTTGACTTAAGCAGGTGTTTCACTTTAACAGAGGTGACCACCGGCCGTGATACAACACATCTCAAAGCGCGATCTTCTGAAAGTCAATGAGGTCAGATTCCACACATACAAATTCAAACCTGCTGTGTACACAGCACAGAGAAACACCCATAAAAGCCAAATAACCTTCTGAGTACAGGAAAAAATTATTGTAAAAAAAAAGACAGGATTACATGTATATACTGTAACTGAGCCCCCTAACAGACTGGTCATGGAGCAGTGTTAACATAGAGGGTTTCGGTTATTTTACTAAATTCTCAACACTTACTTGGCTCTACCACTATTAAGCCAATCTGAAGGCATTTGAGACATACCGTATGTGCCAAAATCTCAGAGTAAATGTTCTTGGACAAACATAAGTTTAAAAGCAATAAACGGTGCGTTTCAGAAATCCCGATAATAATGTCAGTGACGGCGCCGAACTAAAACGCTGGATCTCAGCCATACCTGCGTCTTTGGCCCACTTCAGGATGGAGGAAACCTCGTTCCCCTGGGTCGTGTTGCACTGGGAACGCACCGCTGCCGCGTTCACCCCTACTGTCCCCTCGTTCGCCTTCACCCCACACAAGTAGGCCGTGGCCGTTCCCGCGCTGTCGGGCACCTGTGCGTTTGTGTTGTAAGTCTACAAAGAAATGCAATGAAAGCAGGGGCTGAAGCAGAGCTTTGCCAGACAGGTGTAACTAATGAAACTGAAAGGGCTGGCTGACTGCTAACCCTCAGTTTTTAAAAATGCATCTCTAGCATTTATGGACATAGCTCATCTTTAGTACTCTACTCCTAGATTGAATGCAGGTTCAGATCTATTAGAAACCTAGTAGGTGGGTCTGTGCTTTTCCCAGTCATGTGCCTTTTAGAGTGAGTTTCTTATGCTTGAGCGTCTTATTTGGTTTCTGCTGTTTTTCTTTTTATGCCCTTGGTCTTTCAAAGAATGCACTGGTGTAAACTGTCAAATTCAAAATGACTCGTATTGAAGGATCAAAAAACAGTAGAAAAATAATGTCGACAAAGGGTTATTAAGAAGGGGTAAAAACTTTTTACAGTACACTGTCATGGTTATAAATTAACTGCTTCCTTCTTCCTTCCTTCCATCTTCCTTCTTCAACCATTGGAGCTCTGATTTTAAGACTTTTTAGAAGTGTTGTTTTTTTACTATGTATAGTGAATCAAGCTTTTTTTTCTTTGTCACATTGCTTGCTGTTCTCAACAATTATTATGCATAACAATTAGGCATAAACCCAACTGCTAGTTTCGGGTTTGTATCAGTTTGCACAATGTACAGTAGGTCTGTATTTAGCAGTAAAACAAAACAGGATATTTTTCCATTTGGGAATCGCACCATAATACTTTGTTGCATGTTGTGTTGTAGCTTAATGCAATCACATGCTCCACCCATTGATATAATTCATTTCAAAGACAGCAGGTATTGTATTTGCATGGTAAAGCAATTTGTTAATGTATGTGCAATCTTGTATAATGTTTGTTAAATATTAAAGAGATGAAGAGCAGTCCCCCAAGGCAAAGTCCATGTTGTTAAGACTGAAGTGGTGGTAGAAAATGTTTTAGAATATACCGTAGCTCTTGGAATCACACATGGCTCAACACACAAAGGCAGGCACTTAGCATCATGGCAGCTCTTTAGCTAGGCACCTGCAGGCACTCATTTTTTCGATTGATGCAAACTTTCCTTTCAGGCACCAGGGTCCTTGCAGTGTGTTAAATGGCCAATGGCTCAACAGATGGGTGTGATCGGACTAGATCGGAGGAGCTAATCTATGTATTTAATTTGCTAAAGAGCAGAGTCAAGAAGGCTTTGCAGCACAGCTGAGTCTTAAAGCAGCCTCCTATTCCAAATCAGCTGAGTATGTAATATAAGAAATGAGTGTTTTTATTATTTTTTATCCTTGCAGCTAATCATCTCTTATAGTTACGGAGAGAAAGGAACGGGGAGGGGTGAACCAAGAAAGGAGGAAACCTTGAAGGAGTGAGAGAGGGTGTAAGATTAAAAGAAAACCAGAGATAAATGTACCTTGGAAAGAGCCACATAGGGAAACTTGTCCATTTCCAGTTCAGTCTCTTCCCCACTGTGCCCATTCATCTGGCCCTTCAGAATTCTGGCTGCTGTTACCGTAGGAATGCCCATACCTGGTAACAAGCCACAGGGGTCTGTGAGGAGCAATGACTAGGGAAAAGCATAGCACGTAGCCTGCCATATTTCCACAGCATTCACACATGATTACACATACAAAGCTAATTTCAATTAGTTTCTGAATAACGTATGCCATTTATTTAATGTTCATGTTAACCATGCTGTTTAAATTACCTCTTTTAAATTACATCCTCTCATGTCCTGTGTAAGAGGATGTTTTAGCACTGCAAATGTTTATACTGAAGTCACTACAAAAGTGCATAGGACAGGTGCATATGGCTCTTTTTATAAATGGGTGGATTAAATGTGAACTAAGCCTGTTGGAGTCAAATCTGTTTTCTGTTCAAGTTTCATTTCGTTACAGGGTTACTTGCACAATTTGGTGCCAATTTATAAAGAGAAGAATTACATAGATCTGTTACCACTTAGGTTTTATTTATTTTAAGAGTGTTTATTTTACAATAATTCTACACAGTCTATTTCATCCATTTTCTTTTCTAATTTTAAAGCAGAATACAGTGTATTTATTAAATTACAAAATGTGTTCCTATTTGCTAGTCAGCATAACTTGTTAGACGAAATAGTGAAATCTGACTAATATGAGTTCTGGTCCAAAACAGCGTTCCATAAGTCACATTTAATGTAAGTTGGGGACTGTCTGTACTGGATTGAAAACAGCTGTTTATTTTTGCTTACCGTCTCCAAGGAAAAGAATGATGTTTTTGGCAATGTTCTTGTTGTGTTCTTGCAGAGACAGAGCTTTCTGTAGTGTCTTCTGAGCCATATCATTCCAAAACCTGGGATTTTTCTCTTCTTCTAAATTACACACAAGTGATACGAAAATGTAAGTATGCAGAAACACAAATAGCATTTTCCTCACTAATGTCTGGCTGCCCCATGCCACCCAATCCCAGCTCAACACCATTTGGGGTTACCCTGGCCGCAGCCAGCTAACGGCACATCCCAGTGGGATTTAGGGCTCAACCCATCTTCCAGGTGAGCATATTTTGCTGCCTGAACCATGTGTAGCCCCATGAGTCTCAACTGTGAGCAAAGTGATAGTACCATCATTCAGAATAGTATGGGCCCATACTTTATTTTAGAAAACAAACCAACCAATGTAATTCATAAGTCACTGTTAGTAAGATGCAAGCAACTGTATCTGGGAAACCACTTTACTGTCAATGACATAAGTGCAGTCTTACACGTTGACAAGAAACAGAATGTGGATCTTCTGTATTTTGTCATTTTTTTGGCGATGTTGTAAACAGCAGGGTTTGGCAAGGATCGTGGCTCTTAGAATTTCAGAAAGAATACGAACTTGATTAGAAAAGTGGTTACTTTCATTTCAAATGTCAACAACCTTAAAGTCTGCATCACAATGAGATAACCACTAACCTTTCTTGTACAAAGGAGCTTTTATAATCATGATGTGCAAATAAAGAGGCTGTACAACAATGAGGTAGAAAGAAATGAAAAATGAATGCAATGAATGCTATTATATTGTGCTATAAGTGAAGGAAGAGCAGTATTGACGTACAGTATTAATAATACATCAGATTACAAACGTGTGCTCTAAGCTCCAACACCGGTTTCCTTTCTTTCTAATTTCATATAGTCTGTGATATTTTTTTGTTAACAAAAAAATACAACAATACTGTATATACTGTACAGTATTATCCCCAGCTCGAAACAAGCAACTCTTACAACCTGTTTTAAAAATAGTGTTCACACAGAACATGGAAAATGGTTTTCAGAGAGGTTTAATAGTTCCAATCCAAGGGCATTGCTAATGTGTATGATTTTTTAAAGTATCCTGGTCAATTGTATTATCATGAATGAGGCACTGCAAATATTTGTGTAACATTATAGCTAGTGATACATTTAAAAAGGTGACAGGAGTTCATCATTCTGAGTGTAAAGTCAAAAATAAACCCTGATGATCACATATACAGTACATGTAATTACTGTATGGCCAGTTGTACTAAAGCAAGAGCTTAAGAGTAGCTACACACAAATATATTTCTATGTTTTGTAGATATTACTTAGGCTTTTTGTGCTTATCAGCTTAGCAAAACAAATCCAAGCTAAAATGATATTTTCTAGTTATACTAGAACAGTATTAGTACAGTATTTGGAAATTGCTTCAGGATTTAAAATCGTAGTGGGTTTGTAAATTTATAGAAAGGAAAAGCTTTGCTCAAAATATCATAGAAGAATGTTCATCAGGGTAAGTCCAGCACTGAAAGTAGGTACTGTAAAAGTCTGTACTACAGTATGTAACAGTAAACAAACGATGCCTGCTCACCTTACTGGAAAAAACAACTTCATTCCTATTTTGACTTAATATAACTCTTGTCTAGGATATATCTTTGGATTCATATTCCTTTTCATGCTCCCACTTTAGTCATGGATATAATTACCACTGTAACAGGATATTTGTGGCTTTTTTATTATGCCCAACGTGTTTGGAATAGCCAATTCTCTCTGCTCATAGATACTGTACAAACCAAAGTAGCACAATCACTACATGGGATAAGATATTATGACAAAACACCATGTTATCATAGTAATAATACATAACTTGAAATGTGCACGTTCTTTGTTCTGTTACATAAATTGTGATTTCATGAGTCAAGGACTCTTCATATTCCACTCCTGTCTAGACAAACAGAGCAGATAAAGCCTTTTAAATGGTGGGTGCTAGAAATATTTTTGGTTTAATAATATTGGGGTTATATGTTTTCTATTATTACTGCTGTATTTGTTACACATAAATGGAAAAATCTGTAAATTTTAAAAGTTTAAATGTGTATACACCAGGTACAGAGTTCAGATGCCTTTTGCTATTTATGTTCTTATGCGGTGTTGTACAACTAGGAATCTGACTTGACACAGACAAGTGTGTGTTTGCTCTGCACCCATTCGTAACTCCTCTATCCATAAAACAGAATGTTGTCACATAGCATTGGTTTTGGAGGCGAGACGTTAATTACAGTTAAACTGCTAATAACGTCTCTTAAGAGATGGGTGACTGAAAACCCAACCTCAACTTGTTTCCACCAACCAATCAACATGTATGCTGTTTTGCAAACTCTAGGCAAGTAGTTTGAGTGCCTTCATATAACATATTGAGGCTTGAAAGAGGTATTAGACTTATCCTCATTCCTCCTGGAAGTTTTTATTCATTTGTGGGGGGCAGGGGGTGATACAATTCTCAGGAAGACTCTCAAATGCTCCGGCGGACTTGGGCTACTTGTGCAGTGGAAATCCCTAGCGAGAGTCATGCTTGTGGCTCTGAAGCCAGAGGTACTCCTGGGTAGCAGTGATGGATTCCTGGAAGAGGCAAAGCTACTGTATTATACATAAGAATCTGTGAATCGTGTGCAAACGAGAGGAGGCAATTGGGCCCATCTTGCCCAATTTTGCGTTTTGGTAGTTTTGCATCTAAAATTTCATCCAGCCATTTCTTAAAGGTTGGAATCTAGTGTTTCCGATTCTCTGTCCTAAATGAATTACCCTTAAGAGTTACGCATGTACATGAAATTCCCTGTTTTTCTTGGTTCACATGCAAATACCCATGTACATGTGTCTGAGGTTTTTACAACCGTCATGCCTTTCAGGATGGGCTAGCGATTTATGCACATCTCCCGATTATCTCTTCTAACTTGGTGTCCCTGTTACAGTTGACATCCTTAGAAGAAACTTCTACCTCAAGTAGAAGACTCCTATTTTCAGAATTCTTTAAAAATCCTCCGATCAATGTTCAGAGACAATTAGAAATTAATAGATAAATTAAATGCCAGGCTGAGACTTTGAAACCAATTGGTTTCCTCTTACGAATGCAATGATCTGGTATGTACAGGACTTGAATTTCAGTAACTAAGAAAGGTCTAACGTGAACCTCATGACAGCTCATGAGTTTTTATGTGTTGGTCTCATCCATGTGACATTCGGTTTGTCCGTCAAACAAAGTTTTGTCTTAGCCAAGTTTACAGTAAATAGTGTCAATTGTAACACACTCAGTGTTTCTACAATGAAGTATCTGAATTACAAAATGTTTATGGCGATATGGTTTCTCATAGTCTCGAAGTACAAAAAGAAATGTGAACCATTTTTGTGAAAAGCTATTAATTTTTTAATGTTAATTTTAATTTTCAGTTAAGTGTCAGAATATGTCCTATTGAAATGATGTATTTGAGTAGCTTTCATGTTAATGGTAGAATTGTATTTTATAAATGTAAAGTGTTCTTGCAAAGACGCCTATCATTAATGGAGCTGTTTTTTTATTAGCTTTTAAATGTATTATCTGATAGCTGAGCGACTATTTATGTAAACTAGATTTAAAAAAAAAAACTCACCAGGAAACTCTGGCTTCCCTGAGCAGACCCACACGAGACTGGTGCAGAGGAAGACTGATGTCAGCTTCATTCTGTCCTCAGTTTTGTCAGTGCCCACAACATATAAAACTGCTCGTCTTATGAAAAGAACTGCAAATTCAATTCATTCCAGTTCCTGAAAAAAAAAACAATTTGAATTAAACACAGTAGGCATCTTGGCTCATAGCCATGATGTATATGTACCGTGGGAAATTCACCACAAGCTCATCTAATGGACAACTACAAATCCAGTATCCTACATTTTTTGAGAAAGTTTGTACATTGTTTATATTTATTTGTATTGGTAAAATATTATGTTGCCTTCATATGATGTTGTGTTTCTTGGAACTAAAGCAAATATTTAGGTGGTGAAGAATGTCCCATTTTGTTTTGAATCTAAACATGACCTGTGAATGGATTTGGAATTCTGTGGCATTTAGCACTTGAAACTTTATTTTGAAAGCAGTTGTTTAAGATTGTGAAAACAGTTGTGGGTGGGCTTTCTTCTCATGTGTTTGTTATCTTGCCCCTGAGCATCCCTGAGTAAAAAAACAATTGCCAACTTAATATAAACAACTTATAATTGAGTAGGGAACTTAAATTGTTTAAAATTAAATTTACAATTGTATTTTGATTTAATTTTCCTTACTGGGACACAATAAGGCTTGTGTTCATGTAGAATCTGTACTGTGCATAGTATCCAGGCTAGCGATTAATCAGCCTTAAAAACAGAATGATAGAAATCTGCAATATTAAAAGCTGGATGAAGTACTTTAAGTGATTGTTATGACCCTACAGTTGTGTAAACATAACACCTCATATTATTATAGGGATGCAATCTATAAAGGTTGGATTGTGTTATACAGATGGATGCATGAAAATTACATGATCCACCACAAAAGGCATGATGTCACCATTTCCACATATTTGTAAAGCCTATCATTTTGTGTGTTTTATATTGTTAAGAACAGATAGCTGTTGTTGAGAAGAGATGGAAATATTCTGTACAACATGACACAGGCATGCGTGATGTGGAGTTTTTTAAATAGCCTCCTATTGGAAATCACTTGGTGAAGCTTTGACTATCTATGTTTTGTAAACACTGTAGTATCACAAACTCTGATAGCATAGGTTCAGCAGCTCATACACCCCTGCATAAGCAGCCTGGGATTATGCCTGTTATTTTACATGTGCTACAGTCAAGGTCATTTTAATTGGATTTAGTGCTACAGTGAAGAGAGATTTAAAAGATGCAGCAAAGAGGCTTAAATCTAAACAAACAAGCCCTGTTTGTACACCTCCATCTTTAACCCTCACCTAACATTATTCATTCATGAACATGTAAAAAATGTCATCTTACATTATTCCTGGCATTTTCCTGGTTATACTGGAAACCATCTTCCTTCTGCTGTGTCCACATCAGGCTGTGAAATAATATCTGTGTCTAAAATGCTCCTTCATTTTGTTTTTGTCTGGATACATGTAATAAATGGAATTTGAAGTTGAAGATAACTCAACATGCACCAGTAGAAGTATAAAAAATAAATTAAGAATGTCTTTGGGATGTATATGTTAATATTTTTAACTATACAGCAGCTACTAAAACGGTGGTCAGGTCACACCTTTAAATGATGCTCTTCTTCCTCTCTCGATTTTCAAAAAGTAGGATCTAATGTGTGGGGACATTGACACTATTGAGACCAACAAACTTCTAATGCATTTTAGAAACTTACTGGGAATTCTTTTGCAGTGTGAACATCTTACAAAAGCCACATACAGGAAGATATGGAAGGCTCAAGAGTTAATAAAATGTGTCTGTTCAATTATTCATTGTGCTGCATTAGATTGCACTTTGATCACCATCTAACAGTACACAAGTCTGTCATCACGACAAGTCATCTCCTGTCAACAGACACCACAATCCTGTACATGTCACGTATTCCGGTTTACTGTGTAAGCTTTTAATAGGTTATGTGTCATCTGTAACTTTGCACAGACTACTCCTGGAAATAAGAAATCCCTTTTTCCAAAAAAAAAAGTCTGTCCTAAGAAGACAGCATCAGTATCGGAAAATAAAGTTACTGGATGCACATTGCTCTGCAAATTAGCTTAACCTCTATACTGCTAACATTGTGTGCAAACTGCTACAGACCGATACGACTGACCTATATCCTCCGTTTGGAGCAGAGATGATACAAACCCCGCGGGGAAGACTCTTTCAGAAGTGCATAGGGGTGCCCAGTGGCTTCAGCTTGGGTGCCACACGACAGGTGAAATAGCACAGCAGCGCTAGGACGATCATGAACAGCGTGCCAGAGAAGAAGGAAGTCAGTACCACCCACAGTTCTTCAGCTTTCAGCGACAACATGCTGTTGTGCCTGGTTGCGTGTCCGAGAGAATTTTAATGACAGAGAGCACGCCTGCTCTTTCCACAGCCACTGGGATTGTGGACGCAGCTATTGTCCACCAATGAGCCCCCAGCCCTGCTTGAGACCTGTCAGCATAGTGGCCCTGAGTAAAGGCTAAGGGCAGTGAGATCATGCTTGAGAGGGATTAGCACTAATGCCAGTAACTACAACTGCTGGCAGACAAGTAAACGCCTTACCCGAACAGCTGATGAAGCTCAGTGAAGGAGCCCTTGCCTTTTATGCATTTGTTGAGTGAAAAAATGGCCATAAAAGTGTCTCGCACGCTTTGCATTTTTGTGTTTTGCATGAATAGGGGCTTGAACCTGTAGAGCTGGTTGCGTTATGATACCAGGATTGATGATGTTGCTACTGGCAGGACTGGTAGCCTTCCAAGGGCAACTCTGGAATATTTTCCCACGATTATGTTGTCTTTGCACTCTTCAGCCAAGGCATTCCTAAGGAAAAGCTTTACTGTGTGAAAAACTGTGGTGGAATGAATGAAATCTTGTTGGAGGTGCAGATCTTAGCTGGGTGTATCAGTCACCATCATGTCCACTGTATTTTCCTTGTATTTTGGCAATTGTATAGTTTAACTGTAAAAGTACTTAAGAATAATCTAGCAATGTGAGAGCACTGAAGAGATGTGGCAGATCCCATATTGGTCTGATAATTCACCTTTGTGTTCATAGAAGACCATCATTCTTGACCATATGGGATAACCAATAAATGATTAACTTCATACATTACAATGCTTGTCTCACATTGTAATGTACAGTATGAAGTTAATAACCTCAATACTAAAATATGGGTGGTCTTACAGTCATAGACTGATTTTTCCCAAAAGAAATGTTAGTTGTGTCTCTAACATTTTTCTCTTCCTCTCGAAGAGCTGCCAATGTGACAAGAATGAACTGGGAGCTGTCATATGTGTCACATCACAGAGCATTGTTTGAGAGGACTTGCTTCTACTTTTGCATGTGATTGCCTAAAATGTCTAAGAAGAACTAAAAAATGAATAACTATGCTCAGGCAGGATAACCGCATATCAGTTTGAGCCAAGTGATGAACGAGACTGGGACGCGTCTGAAAGAGTAAAGCTGGTTTTGTGAATAAAACTGCTGCAAGTGACAAAAACTTTACTTTGTAAATACGTGACTTCTGTATGTCTCAGTGCCAGTCAGTTTTAGGTAGTTTGTGTAATTTTGTTTTTAAACACTGAGACATTCATTGCTTTGGAAATTGTGTGCAAGGGGACTGTGTTTGGTAAAAACGTTTTCCAAATGTGAAACGCAAATGGTTATTAATTCACAGGTTCCACAGTACGTGTTACCTTCCTCACTGATAGTTTGGTATTATACCTTAAGCAATATAAACAAACACAGTTCATATCTGTAAACTCCCTTCGTCTCTTCTTTAACCGTTCTAAAAATTGGAATATTTCTGCTCCAAAAGCTCAGTTTAGAGGAGGAAGATAAGAGAATTCCCTTTGGAGACTGAAACTGGGAACAGATTACTATTCTGTTGAAAGATGTTTTTAATTTGGATTATTTTCTGAAAACAATAAGCATCTTTATTAAATTAGCAATGAAACTGATACAGTTAAACACAAATTGAACTGATGAATATACTTAAGACCATTTATGGGACTAATTTGGTGTTACAGAAGTCACAGGATGTCTGAAAGCAACAGCAATCAAGAACAGGAAACATAGCAGACGATACAGATGTGTTTACTTTTTATTGTAAGACTGAAAATGTCTTTGTACATTCCGTACATTTTATAATAATATTAGCATTTTGCAGTGCATGCGTTAGCCTTTTCAAAAGAAGAGGTCTCATTGTCAAACATTTGTTTGTATGAAAATACTGGGAACAAAACTGAGTACATCAAAGGCACTACAACCTAAAAGTTTATTTTCCCAAACTTTTGCAACAGCTAATGGATATTGATAACAGATGAGAATGGTAGAGGAATAAGTCTGGAACACAAATGTGAACTCGATTCAACAGGGAGTATTGTTTTGTGTCAGGATAATGTTACCTTTACAGCAACCATTCCAATTAAAGCTTTTTTTTCTTAAAGATTGACTGAAGATATGAAGTCCCTTTTCTGAAGTATTTGTACAAGTGATATGTAGAGGGCTGCTGTGTAAAAATGAAAACTTGGAGAACAAAAAAGAAGACTCTGGTAATACACCTCAGAAACCTAGCTATAAGAGGAAAGAGACAGGATTTTAGGGGATTGGATATTACATGGACAATACCAGGTGTTTATAAAATTATTCAATCCATTCAAGCAACTGTATCATAAAGATTTGTTACACGCACAATAGATCCATCAGGAATGTAGCACTTTTCATCCCAAAGGACCCAAAACACTTTGCATTTAGGAAGCAATCAACTTTATGAAGCAGCGAACTGCAACACCCATCTGTGTGACACACTGTAAACATCAAGCACCAGCAACCCTACTACACAGCAGGTCAAATGGAAAAGTGAGAAATTTGATCATCTACAGAACTAAAGGGGAGGTTTTTAGGTAAGCCAGATTGTGCAAGCCCAGAGTAAAATTATGCCAGTATGTTAACCTACTCATAACAACAGCACATGAGATCTTTAACTAAAGATCCCATGTTGCCATCAAGAACTCGGGACCACCAGAAGGATGGTATTTCCTACAGCACCATTTCCTCTATTACCATGCTAGGTCATTGTTTTGGATTTCCTGGTTTAGGGGGCAGAGTACAACCTTTTGGTTGTGGTCCACCACCAGCAACAACCTGGATTTCTCTGTAGGGCTCCCATCTGGCTAGATGGAACTGACCAGGCTCAGTTTTGATTAGCTGCTGACAAGATCAAGCCAGAAGGAGGCAGGCCTGCTATCAGTGTAGAGTCTTCTTATGTAAATTGTCACTGTCCAAAGAAGTGTATTCCCTTGACAGTACCATTTGTGTGTGCACTAAGCATGGGTTTTCAATATACTGGTTTCTGGCAAAATGAGCCCTGATGTGAGTGTGTGTGTTTTTGCACCTGTGTGTGTCCTGAGAAGAACTGGCTTCTCAACCAGGGTGGACCCTGCCTTGTGCCCGTTGCTTGCCAGGATAATTGTTGCATTCCTTCTTGTGTGCACTCTTTTTCTAATGTTTCATACTGGACTATTGTTATGGCAGCAACACAAAATTGCCATTTGAGATAAGGCGGTGTTTTAAAAATAGACTCTGAGCTAAAAATGCATCTCTTTGTGTGTTTCTTTTTTCCAAACTCACAATATCTGATTACCATGTACATGAAACATCATCTTATATTTATTGATGATTCAGTCCACTGTTGATGATTGCCATCAGGCTCTTCAGAACCTCCTGACCGACAGAATCAGTGTTGATTATCGAAGTATTTTCCATATACCATGCCTGTGGTATACAAAGCAGGACATGAAGGTAAAATGGGGTGACAGTGTGCAGGTATACTACATGCCCTTTAATGAATAATAGGAGTGAAAAGCAATAAAATGATCTTTTCATAGCAAATCATCAGTGAGATTCACTGTTCATTCACTGTTCATTGTTCGTCAGTTCAAGCTGATGGGCTTCAGACCATTGTGTGATGCTAAATCTGTCACTAACATCTCTCGCACTAAGTTAATTTTTGTTGTCAAACTAGCTATTTATTAATGAAAGAGTGAGAACTCACAGATAATAATGAAGACATAATATATAATTATATAAAGTAAACAACTAAAAAGGAACTTAATGTAAACTGCTTCTGCAGCACTTCATTTATTTAGTTATTGCAAGAAAAACTCCAAAAGGATTTATCAAAGCAGAATCAAAGCTATTTAAATGGCTATTTAAATGTTTTCCATCGGAAGCTGTTACTTTTGTTTAAATGTTTGTTTAGAAAACCATTACTGTTTTTTGGTGTGGTTTAGTATGCTATCTTGATCAATTACAAGTCAAAAGCTCTAGTCATTCATTAGCTGTGTATGACTGTTATATCCAGGTACTGCATTTCAAGTCTCAAGAGAGAATTAACTGATTTTTCTTTTTCATACACCACTGTTTATCCCATAGGATCCCAAAGCACGAAGAGATTCTGTTCATCCACCTCTGAAGGGCAGCAGCCTTTCTGTGCCAGTTCAACTCCACATACGATCTGGTGGAAAAGTGAGAAACTACTTCAGCAGTTTAATTTTGTGAAAATTCACTTTATGAAAGTGCCATGAGCTCTGTATGACCAGGTAGTCCCATCCAGTGGTCAGTGTTGTGGTAGGTAGAGAGGGTGTTATATTGTACTTTATTTAAAGAAGGTTTACATTGCTGTGTGAATTGGATAGAGATCTGTATGACCACCTCCTAAATTCAAGTTAATGAAAGTTAATTGTAAGGAAGGATGAAATGTAAGCACTGGTATGCACTGTTTGTACCCCTGGGAAGATGTTCATAGAGACCTCAAATGGGGGGGGGTGGGGCTGACTACAGGCTTTGTAATGTGTTCCTGCTGCTTCTCCTTGTGATTTTAAAGCTTTGTTGTTTTTTAAAGGAATTTGTTTGTTTAGTTCTCCTTCTCACCAATCAAGGGTGAGCTCAAGTGATAATCTGACTTTGTTTAGCTCTTTTCTAACCAATCATTAGTAAACAAGTGATGTGGTGGTATTCTGTTGGAACAGTGAAAGAGAAATCGCTGCCCATCTCCTCCCAAGGTACACAATTAAGGAGCTCGTGGATTTAATAACAGGCTAGAAATATTGAATTTTTATCACCAGTATAGTCTGCTAGGAGGCTCAGCAGCATTGTGAATCAGAATGTGAAGTGTCTGCAAATGTCAAATGAGAGTTTTCTGTAATGAATAGACTACCCATAATGTTTCTACTGATTACAGAGAACCAAATGAGTGTCCCGAGACTCAGGAGAAATTTTATTTTAAAATATTCAATGTAATTTTTAGAAGTAAAGGTATTTTTAAATCAATCAGTTTTGTTTTAAAATCCAGCGGCTCTTACACAGATAGAGTCACCAATGTGACTGTGTGCTCACTTGTATTTTCTGACATTTTTTAGGTTACATTGTTGGACTGCCAGCCAGAAAGCTCACAGAAAG